CGGGCACGGACAACGTCGATGCACCGCCGTGCTCGCCTTCCTGAGCACCTGCTTGCCCTCTGGCCACATCCGACATTCCAATGCCGAACGGTGCAACGGCGAGTGTTCCGTTTGGAGGCTGCGGCGACGAGAACTGCATCGCGCCGAATCGTTCGCCTTCAGACATACCTTCTCCGAAGCTAGGAGCCGCAAAGATGCCCAGCGAACCAGTGGGTCGATCCGAGAGGCTGGTTTTCACTCGGCCCTCGCCCCCTTCGTCAGCGTGGCTGTGGCCGAGTGCAGTGGATGGGCGTCGTCGAGCCTCTGGTGCAGGACTGCGGTACACATGCTGTCCATCTGCGAGCAAGGGCGATCCCTGTGGCTGGTGTGGCTGATGCTCGCGCCATCGGGCTCCTGTCGCCACCATCAAGGGCCGCGACAGCGACGACGGTGTACCCATGGCTGAGTCCGAGCCGTCACGCTTCATCAGCTCCGCCCTCTGGCTCCACGCAGGTGAGGCGAAACTGTGCGTGCTTGGGCCCGACGGACTCGGCTCGCTCCACTCGGACTCGGATACTCCCACGTGCGACGAAGCAGGACCAAGTCCATACCCCGTCGGCAGGCCCATCCCATTCGAAAGCGCGTACGACCCAGCCTTGACGTCGTAGCCACCGTAGTGAACGTTTGGCAAGCCCAGCCGCGGATAGTTGCTGGCGTCAAACGCTTCCGTAGGGTATGCCGCAGACGAGGCGAAGAAGCTCGGCGGCGGCGATACCGACGAGGCTCCCCGGTGATGGTCCGCTGCCATCACCAGCTGGTTGCCAGCTCGATCGTACACGGTTGGACCGAGCCCAAATGCATGGCCTGGCTGCACCTCGCTCGAATAGGATGGATAGATGTAGCGAGTCGGGTTGCAGGCATTGTACAGCTGGGCAGCCGCGATGTGGTGATCCTCGTTGTAAGAGACCGAAGTCGGCGACACCGGATAGTCGGTCAATCCGACGCGCAGCGTTGGGTCTTCAAGCACATCCTGCTCAGCTCCCATGCGTGCACAGCCGAGATGATCCTGATCTCGACTCTCCGTCCTGCTGCCGCCTGCTTCCTTGGCCGACTTGCTGGCCTGTACCGCCGACAGCGTCGTCAAGCTGGATGACGACGACGACGACGATTCGGCCGAGGCGGTGGTGCGCATCTTGCTGTGCAGCCGGTTGCGCGTGGTGTGGGTCATGGTGTGGCGATGCATCACGTCCTGGCGACGGAACCACTTGCCGCAGATGTGGCATTCGTACTTGATGCTTTCGTCATGCGTGGCGCGGTGGCGCAGCATGTGTTCGTGGCGCTTGAACGTCTTGCCGCAGAAGCACTTGTACGGCGGCTCGGGCTTGGGCCCGTACCTTCGACGCTTCTTGCGTACGGCACCACCATTGGCTCCCAGGGAAGAATGACCGAACGTTGCCGAGTTGACCAGCGGAGCTTCTGCGCCCGACAGGCTGCGCTGCAGAGCGCCTGTGGCCGATCGTGTCGCGTAGCCGACGCGCATGTCGGCTGCCATCCCGGCACCGGGTAGACTTGCTGGAGTTGGCACGTCGAGCGAAAAGCTGACGTTCGGATTGCACGATGGCGGCGGAATCGACGTCGGCCAGTCGGGGATCATCGAGGACGAGGCGGCTGCGGAAGAAGCAAAATGAGGTGGAAGACAAGCGACGTGGTTCGAGTCCAGAGTGACAAGGTGATGCGCTTCGTGGTGCTGCATCATGGCGCGGGCTGTCAGCATGGACATGGCCGGGGAGCCGAGGCTTGAGCGACTCTTAATTCAGCTCTGCGTCGATGGCAGAGACAAAACGCGAGTACGGGAACCCAATCGGCTCGCAGCGCCACAACTCGCCGATGGGAAACGATGTGGGCGCAACTGCTGCGCAGAAGCCGGCGGGAGGTAGGGAAAAGTGGGAGCGATGAAGTGCCAACCAGATAGCAAGCGGGCTGCTGATGACGATCAGGCCGATTCGCAAGAGCAAGAGGATGGTGAGGGGGTTGCAGAGATTGGGAGGTTGGGGAAGCTCGAGCCGTGCCGCGTTTTAGTACTTTTCCGTCTGGCTCCTGTCGAGAGCTGTGCGGATTTGACGAGAAAGCTTCCGGGCACAAAGCGCTGCGCAGCAGAGATGAAGCCTACGCACAGCCCCTTTCTGGAGCAACGGTCCGAGGGCAATGTCCGAGCCGGAGGGACAGGGCTGGTGTGTCCACCGCACGTGCCACTCGCCGGTGGTTGCACATCTGTAGCCACGCATCGACCGCTCGCAGCGAGTGCGGAAAAAAAATAAAGCGACATGCTTCCAGGGGTTCTGCCCCTCCGCGCCCCTCCGCGTACTGTTGCGTTTGGTGGCGATTCGCCACCCGGATTCAATTCTCCGAGCTCTACTTCGGGCGATCCGTGACTTTCAAGAGAGTTGCGGAGCGCCTGGACCGCTTGGTCTGAGGGGTGTCGTCATTGTCCGCTCGGTACGACCCACCCAGACCTGCTTGCGGACTTTTGGTGCGGAACCGCGCTCCATTGTGCGCAAATAAGACGACGCATGCGATTCATGCAGGCCGTGCTGCGATCAACGCACCAACCATGGCGATCGATGGCGAGAGACCCCGCCAGAGTCGCGAGTGGCGGCGCTTTGCACCCCTCTTTCTCCTTGGGCACCACAGATCGGTGTGGTACTCTGCACAACGTAGCTTTTGTGATCGGTCACTAATCAAGCCGAGCGAACGGCTTCATTGTTACCTCACATGCGCGGGCGCGCGAGGGCTGCACGCAAGTGAAGTGGCTCAATGTCAGCTGGCGCCTCATCAGCCCTCGGCCCAACTGTGGTGCGCGGCATTGGTGTGGTTTTGCGAGCGTGCACAGCTTGGTGGTGCTGGTTCTGGCGTTGTCTGCATCGCGAAACGCCTCCAAAACGCCGCGAATAAAGCGCGGCGAGGCGAACTCATTCCGGTCGTCGCTCTGGGATTCGCGGAGCTAGGACGATAGCGACGACCGATACAAGACGCAACGTCGCCGGTCCGGAGTCCACATGGATGCCACACGGACAAAGCCGCCCGTAGCACCACGGAATCCCACTACTACACATCAGCGCTGACGCTGGGTGGCTGGTATGGCGCGATGCGCCAAGTTCGCGCCCTATCAGCATGTCGCGATGCGTTTTTTTCTTGCAATGCTCCCACATGAACTCAATTTCGGGCTCGGACAATCAAGCCCGTAAGTTCCGCATTGACTCTCTCAAGCAAAGGCAGACGATACGCCCGGCTATTGATAGCATCAGCAAGTGGTACCGGTCCCACCAGTGGTCAGCGAAGAACAGCAATGACGCCTTGAACGCTGGGATAGTTAGACAACAATTGAGGGTGGTGTAGAGCCGCCTGGGTGATGATGAGGACCACTGCAACGCAGGCGTCTGCACTGGACAGACTGGGATCAACGCAGCAAATGCGTTGCAAATGAAGCTGGGTCAATGCGGCTCCATCTTTTTCGCAAGGTCTGTGCTCGGCACCTGCTCGGTTGGGCGGACCTGGGTGCAGGTCTTAGATCCGAACCGCTTCCGCCATCTCAACAACCGATTCTCGTCTATATCATCCTTGCACACACACGTCTTCAATGTCATCCTTGCTTTCCGTACTTGCGGTGCCGTTTGCAAGTGCTATTCAGTGTGAGGTGGAGAGAATGGAGCGGGGGCAAAAAGAGGTGCAAGAGATTGGTTGTGGCGCATTGACTCATCGGGGAGATGGAGCGCCATTGGCTACAAACAAAAGGGAGGAGCTTGGACCGCTGTGCATGACAACGCTTCATGTCGCTGCAATCCTAGCTGCATTTCGCTCTCCTTCGCCTCGCATTCACCAGATCCAGCTTGCATTAGGATACGGTGCGGTAGATTGAATGGAGCGAGATATTGTACGCCTGTTGTTCCGCCCTTGAGGTTGGCGTAGTGTCGGCTGAATTGACGCCAACTGTGTCCTTGCCAACAGCGCGGGCGTCGAGCGGTAGCATGAAACGATCCGTGCCTCGTGCGTCTGATGATACGACAATCCAACCGCGTGGTATGGTGTGTGACTAGCTCTGCTCTATACAGTATGCGTCTCTCGGAGGGGGGCATTGTTCACTGCGGTTTTGTCGCCATCTGTGTGCCTTCAAATCTTGCGCGCCACACTTTCACCACACATCCAGCGGCACACTCTGCACGTCAAAAATCAGCCGCGTTTTACTCAGTGGATCACACTCTCGTTGTCTCCAGTGGTCACGTTTCTACTGCATGCTATGCTGCTGGTGGCGCTGAAATACCTGGTTGTGACACAGCATATGCCAAGCTGCAACTCGAAGCGTCGCATCTCCCCCCCCTAGCGGGTCCCAACAATGACGACGAGGAGGGGAATAGGAGGCAGGGCAGTACGAATGTTCTTCTCATCTGTGTACAGGCGACTGGTCATTGTGGTTGCCGCACGCCGGATGGTGGGGGGGAAGCAAGCTGGAACGCCACCACCGAGTTGCGCCACCTTGTGTTGCGCACATCACGTCAGTGCGGGACAACTGCGATCCGCGGAAGCACCTATTGTATGGCTCGAGGACGATAGCAGAGCTGACGCCGTGACGCTCGACTTCATCAGTTCGATCTGAGAAAAGGCGCCGAGGGTGAACGATGAGAGCATGTTCCAAGAACAGGCGAAGGGGTGTGAGAAAATTCCTCGGATTGTTAGGCCGCCCCATTGCTAGAAAGCGCGAATTTTTTGGAGGTTGCACCTCCACCTCGGTGGTCGGAAGAAGAAGATCCTGCAGGGTCCCCTCCAACAGCCTCCTTTACCTCCTATACCTGCCGCAACACCGACAAGCCGAGCAATTCCGTTCAAAGGGTCCCTTCAGCACTCTGAGTCTCGCCGACAGTGTCAAGAGCGTGGAGAGGATCGCGCTGGCGTTGGCGACACACAGCGCCTTGATCGGCTTGTGCCACTGAGCGAGGTGCGGGTGTTGCGCGCGGAAGGATCTGAGCATGGTTCAGGCACCCAAGACCGAATCGTGGAAGCAGCTGTACCGCGCGCTGCTCCGCTCATCCGGTGCCGCGGTCCGCTTCAGCCGGCCTGCAACCAGCAACACACGGCGCTACCTCCGAGATGAATTCGCCGCGACAGCCGCTACGGCCGCTACGAGCCTGCAACAGCCGGCAGCTTGGGACTTGCTCGGCAAGAAGACACGCAACACGCTCGCATTTCATCTGTCGTCGTCGCTGCTGCCGAGTGGTGCCGCTGCGCCCCGAACCAGGCTGTCTTTCCACAACGACATTGCCGCACCGGATGGCAGTGCAGAAGAGACAAAGCGGCCGGCGGCGAGCAAGGCGAATCGACTGGCTCGGCTGCCTCATCGAGTGGTGGCGAATCTATCGTCGCTGACGTACCACCATCTTTCGCCGCATACGCAAATGCAGACGGGCAAGCGGTTCGGCGAGAGGGGCGCAACGCGAAAGACGACGAAGCTCTCTTCGCTGGCGCGTGTGCTGGGCCGACTGGACAACACATCTCCACTCGACGGCGACCTGGACGGTGGCGATGGCATCGACCTTCGCGATGCGCTGACGGAGCTCGATGGCGACGCGATGGTCAACCAGAGCCACATGCGCGTCGGCTTCCTTACGCCGAGCAACAAGCCTCCGCGCGGCCCGTTGCAGGCGAAGCGCAAGATCTGGGATGGGCAGGATGCGGACAAGATCGAGTCCGAGGGCCAGCTGCGGCAGATGGAGGCGGATCTGAAAAGGATCGAGCGTCTTCTCAAAGACCAAGGTGCCATCGTCGCTCCCAGGAAACAAGAGTCCAAGGACCCGTCGCCGCCAAAGAAGCGCGAACGTCCAGGCAAAAAAGCACCCAAGAAGGACGACCCGGAAGCGCTGATGGCCAAGCAGGTGCAGGAGTTCAAGCAGGAGGCGGAAGTGCTCAAGAAGAAGATCAAGACGGTCACCAAGGCGCTGGCGAAAGCCGAGGCGCAGGACAAGATGGAGAACATCCCCGTCGCGCTTCTGGCGGATCTGGTGGCGGCGGCCCAGGATTCCGAGCAGCTGCTGCTGGGCAAGCAGCGCTGGACCAAGCGCAAACACGGCGCCTTCCTGCCTCCATAGCTGTAGTTTTAGTTGTACAGAGTCAGGCTATCTTTACACGTTGGCTCGATGCACTCTCGCTCCGTGGCAGGTATAAGGTGATGTGAGAGCTTTCCGAGGAGGCGAATGGCTGTGATGATGGCAAAGGCTGCTGCTGCGCCCAAATTTTGCAGCGGCGTGATTTCGCGAGGCGCGTCCGGGGGCTGCTGCTCGCGGCTGGCTGAGAAGGAGTGTTGTTCTCTCTGCGTGCATGCAGCTGGCTGCAGGCTCGAATGGAAATGGCAACGGCCACATCCGACTTGGCTTCTCACAACTCTGACCAACGCAACCTCGCCTCGTCCATCGGCTTCCACCATCCAGCCATCTGCGACCTTGCAACTCGGGTAAAAGGTCCACCCTGTTTCATTTCGGGCTGCTCCCGAGCCAGGCATCGGCATGTCGCGAAATACGGGAGGCGCAGCACCCAACTGGCGCATGAGGGGGGATGAAGTCGACGCTGGGGCCTCGGACGACGACATGGGCGTTGAAGACAGCCTACGAGGGCCGCAACGTAGCATGCAGCCGCGCTTTGGACGTGCACATGCCCCCATCACGCACAGTGTGCCGGATCTGCCCAACACACCCTCCTCTGCTGGCTTGCTGGATGCCTACGCCTATGCTGCCACTCCTGACGCGGCACTTCCGAACCACCCGCGCTCGATGCTCGCGGAGCCACCTCGGATCCAGCGACCAGCGCAGCAGGCTCCGACTCGAGGCGCAGCCACTTTGTCGCAAACGAGCGCATTCCCACCGGGGCCAGCACGCGCATCGTCGGGATTGTTCGCAGCACCTGCGCCCAGACCCGTTCCGCACGGAAACCTCTTTGCACGGCCACCGCAAGCCTTTGGTGCCAGTCTAGGGCATTTTGATCTCGACAATTCAGCCTCGGCCTCGATCTCAATCTCGGGCTCGTTTAGCTTTGGTCCAGCAGCAGCGAGGGTTCGGCCAGAAGGGATGCCTTCCATTCGGCCCGGACCTATGCTGTTCAACGTTGGTCGAGCCGCTGCCGCTGTCCAGACTCGGCAGACTTCCGATGCCGCCTTCTTTGCAGCACCGCAGACACCCGTTCGGCCGGGACGCGCCACTACGGCTGTTGCGGCCGCCACCGCCATGGCGCAACCACCGTCGCCGGCCAATCTGGAAACAGCGGCGCTGGCAGCCGAGCGCCGCACGCGCGAACAGCGCTCTGCACGTCCCGATCCGAGCGCAGCAGCATCGACAGCAGCGGCTGCAGGTGACGTGCCGAATCGGCGCGTGGTCTCCTTCTCCACCACGCCGGCAGAGGCTGCCATGACTCCAGCCAACATGCTGGCGGCACCGTCGCGTGCGGGCGTCGCCGGCGCCGTCGCTGCGCGTGCCGGCGCAAACACGCGGATGCTGGTGCCCGAATCGAGCTTCTCGCATCTCGGTCGCGCGCCTTCGCGGCCTATGCTGCTGCCCGGTGCGGCGGCGGGCCAGCGAGACGTGAGCATGTCGCTCTCGGACGTGTCTGCGTCGGTGCACGGTGCGGCGACGCGGCTGTTCGCGCGTGCCGCTCCGTTGCCCTCGGCGAGTTCGGGCGTATTCGGCTCCGAGTCGATCCGCGATCCGCACCAGTCGTGGTCGCAAAATGCCTCGAGCTCGCTGTCGGGGCCTGCACCCGAGCCGGTGGAGCAGGTGCGGCTACGGCGTTGGGACGGCACGCAGACCTCGGTGCCGGCGTACCTGGTGGCGGACAATGCAGAGTCGGCGGTGGAGGAGCAGTTTGACTACGACACGATCGCGCGCTTTGATGTGCGCCAGCTTGTGGCGCGGCACGATGCGGATGTGGCTGGCGAGGGCAAGCCGCCGACGCAACAGGCGGACACGGATGTGCTCCAGGCGATTCTGGACATTCAGCTCGGCCTGCGTGGCTTGCACGGCTGGTACGGACATACCTACCGCAATCCGCGTCGGGATGCTGTGGCTTCGGCAGGCGGGGTGGAGAGTGGGAGGACCTCGCGGAAACGGCGACGTCGGGATTCGGGTGCATCGGATGCATCGAGTGCGTCCCACCCCTCGCGGCAGTCGGGATCGGACGCGGAGAGTGACGAGGATGCGCCGATTGTGGTGTACGACACGTTTGGGCGCGTGCGCGGGAGCGTCACACTGCCGAACTACACCCATCGGGGCGGGAGGGGGTTACCGCTGCCGCCTCCGCGCGAGACGCAGGCGGTGCGCAGTGCGAGTGCGGCGCATACTGTCCGCACACGGGGTGCAGCGCTCGGGGAGAAGGAGGCGGCGCTGGTGCACCAGTGCGAGCTGGTGCGCGAGCGGTACGCGCAGCTCCAACCGGATGCGCATCAAACCGTGAGGTCCGCGGCGTTCTACAAGCAGATGGCCGCAAGGAGCGCTGCGTTGGTGGCGTTTCGGAAGCGACTCCGTCCAGCGCTCATGGTCGGCCTCCAGAATGCTTACCTCGACTCGGCGGTGGCTGGGTACCGCCGGTGATGCACGAGCAATACCATTGAGACTTTTACTGGCTCCCGCAGGCGTGTGATGCTGTGTCGTGACCGAGGCAAGGTGTGAGGATCCAGCGCCAGTGAGTACGACCGCCCTCACTCGTCTTAGAACTCGCTCGCTACTCGACACACCCGCCTCTCTTGCACACGCCAAACACTGCGTTGATGGTATCCATGCATTCTAGTCTAGACATATCCGCTGCCGTGAGATCCCGAGCCATTACTCGATGCGAATTCCTATGTGGATGGACCTGCTTCGTCCCTCGGCGTGCTCTTCCTGCTCTCACCCGCGTCCGACCCTGTATCCAGTGCGGACCCATTACGCGCCTGCTCCAGTGCGGAGCCTGACACTTTCAACCCCAACAACCTCTCGTACGGTTCCTCTGCCGCCGCTGTAGGTCTTGCACCCGCGTCGACAAACGGAGCGCCCAATTTGGCTTCATCCTTCGACAGTGTATCCGCCTGGCCACGCAGTTTAGCCATGGCCGCAGAAGCAGCACTGCGCTCAGCAGTCATACTTACGCTCCTGCGCGAGCTGTCCAGTGCGGTACCCTTGACACTGAGCCGCGCGATGGTGTTGGCAAGCTCTTGCGCACTCCCACCCAGCATCTCGCCCTGCACCACCTCCTCCGTCGCCGCAGGGGCGGCTAAAGGTGTTCCGGCCGGAGAATTCGTCGAAGCCCGACGTCCAAGATGCACTGCACCGACCATGGGGAATGGGTAGCCGTCAATCTCGGCACTGGGTGTACCGTCCGACGCGCGACGTGCCGCGCGATCGCTGCGCTGCGCATCCACCGGCACATGCGATGGTCGTCGCGGGCCAGCACCGGGGGTCTTGGCAATTCCTACACGTGCATCGTCCACCACTTCATCCTCCTGCACCACCACCGACCCGGTGTCGGCAATCGACCGCCGAGGTCCGGCAGTCTGTGACCAGTGCGGCGTAGCGGGCTGTTGCTGTCCAAACGATCCGTACGCTGGGAACATGGGGTTGTATGCCCCGCCCACGTGCGCATGCACAGGTGCACCCGGGGCCGCATTCAACGCGCCCACATTGGCATGCATCTGGCCCGCGTGCGCATCGGCGTGCGACGCCCCACCCACCGTCGGACTAAACGGCCCCAAACCCGGGCTGAGAAACTGCGGATACAGAGGCGGCGTCTCGGGCACCGGATTAAACGTAAACCCAGGCATGCCCGGTGTCATGGGCACCTGCATGCGTCCATCCGACCGCCCCTCCACACCACCACCAAAGCTACCGAACTGCGTCGCCGGGAGCTGGATACGCCCCGGATGTGCGTTGCTCTGCGCCATCGCCGGCGGCGAAACTAGACCGGGAGACATGAGGTCCGAAGGCAAGTACGAAGACGCAGCGCCAAAGCCGCTCGCTGGCATCGAGATCGTCATGCCGTAGTCGGAGTCCCGACCCTCACCCTTGTCCGCATCGCCTTCGCTGGGCTGCGAGAACAGCCCAAACGGTCGGGTGTTCGACTGTCTCTCTGGAGACGCCAGATGGTCCGCACCACCAAAGGCCATGGAAGATGCGGCATCGTGGGGGGTGTCGGCGAAGCCGGAAAACGACGCACGAGGCTGCTGTTGCTGCAGCTGCTGTCCGTACTGTTGCGGGGCCTGCTGAGGTTGCTGAGGGTAGGGGAGCGAGGATTGCTGCTGCCCAAACGCGCGAGCGGGGGCATCGGCTGGATTATGACTAACCTGCCCGAACGCGCCTTGACCTGGGTATTGAGAAAAGCCCGAGGCTGGAGCAGCACGCTGGTGGTGGTGGTGTTGATGCTGAGCCATGGGATTCTGCGCATACGTCTGCATGCCATGCAGAGGCGGAGCAGCGACGGACGGTGCACGCACGTTGTTGGTCATGTGCGAAGGCAGAGCTGCAGCCGCAAACGCACCAGTATACTGCGCCGGGTTGCCCGGCGTGCCAATAGCAGGCCCGTTCTGAGCTGCAAAGCGGTCAAAGTGGACCTTGAGCGTGCGCCCACTATACTCGTAGCCATGGTAAAGACGCACGGCGTTCTGCGCATCCTCCTGCGACGCAAACAGCACGGTGCCGAATCCGCGACTGCGGCCGTCCGGTCCAATGGCTACGTCGGCTCGCTGGATGTTGCCAGCCGCGCGGAAGAGGTCCTTGAGATCCTGCCACTGGCAATGGAACGGCAGGTTGCCGACAAACAGGACGCGACCGGCGTACGAGGTGGTGGGCACGTGCGGAGCGAACGGCTGCGACTGCATGGATGCCACAGCGTTGCCTCCAAACGCGGCGGGACCCGCGGGCCACGGAGCCATGGCGGTGGCCCCGGGAAAGCCCGTGGGCACCGAGGAGCCACCGGCATTCTGCACAAGCATGCCACCGGAGGCCTCGTTGGAAGCTGCTGGCCAGCCACCGGAAGACGGGGACGTGCCCATGCCTACGCCCACTTCGGATCCGCGGCGCGAACCTGCGATGGACTGGAGCGACGACACGGCGCGATGCTGGGCTGCACCTGCAAAGTTGTGGTCGTAGGCGGCGCCGTGTCTGGCAGCACCGCCGCCGTTGGAGGCGCCATGCAGCATGGCTCGCTCGAACTCGGTGGGTTGTGCATTTGTGTTGTGCGCCGAGAACGAGGAGCGGGTCGAGATTGGTTGGGAAGGGTCGGCGGCCGCTGCGCGTGCCAGCGGAGAGAGGGCGGACGGCGATGCGCCTCCCGAAAAGGAGCCCGAAGGCACACCGAGGAAGGGCTGGTTGGCGGCTTGGTCAACGGCATGCGCCACGGGAGAAAGGCCGTTGGCGTAGTTGGCGAGCATGGATGGCATGGCGTTGGGCCTGAGGTTGTTGGGAGCGATGGTGGGTATGGCTGCGCTGCCGGCGACACCGACGAGGGTGCCGCTGCGGTCGACGCGAACGTCGAGGGTCCTGCCTTGCCAGGTGAAGCCTCCGAGCATGTCGGCGGCCTTGATGGCGTCTTGCTCGGTGGCCATGAGGACGGTGCCGTAGCCGCGACTGCGGTTGTCTGCGCTGAGAGACACGTCTGCGCGGAGGACGGTGCCAGCCTTGCGGAAGAGATCCTTGAGGTCCTGCCATCGGACGCGGTAAGGGAGGTTGGAGACGAGGAGCTGCGTGCGCGGATCGGAAGCCGAGAGGGGACCTGTTGTGGGAGCGGGCGCGGCGGGTAGCGGCAAAGATGGATCGGGCCGGTGAGAAGCGGGGTCGGAAAGATGGTGCAGATTGGCGGGGTGTGTGGGCGTGAGGAAGCCGCCGGAAGACGAGCTGTGATGCGATTCCATGAGTGCTGAAGTGATCTCTGCCGAGTGCTGCTGGTGATCCGAGGCTGTAGGGCCATCTGAGAAAGATTGGCGACCAAACGGCGGACGAGCGCCGTTGGTGGCATCAGCTTGAGCGCCAAACGATGACGAGAGGCGGCGCTGAAGGTCGCTTGGCGCTGACGGCGGTGCGAGCGAGGTTGGGGAGCGTGCGTTGGGGAGCGATGGTTGCGATTGGCCCAAAAAGTCGGTTGACGGGTAGGTGGAGTGTGGCGAGGGTGATGGAGCGCGGCGAGAGGCAGCCGATCCTGAAAGGAGGGAAGGAGTGGCAGGAGACGTTGCGGTGAGGTTGTTGGGAGCGCCGCCGCTGCTTTGACGGGAATGGTCGGTGGTGTCGCGAAGGCGATCGCCGAATCCATAAAAGGCGGTGGAGGTGTGGTTGTTGTCTGCATTGGCAAAGGGCGAGGCGGCCTTGGCGGCGGGAGAGAGGGCACGGCCGTGACTGGAAGCAAAGGAGCTGGCGCGACTGCTGAGCGAGTGGCCGTCGGAGCTCAAGCCGTGGACGCGGTTGGAGGCGCCGAGGTTGAGGGGTGGAGATGGGCCAAAGGCGGCGGCGTGAGGGGAGAAGGGGGACGAGACCGAGTGGGATGGGGTGGCCGAAGCGGCATCCGAAGCGTCGCTGGGAGGATTGGCGGACATGGTGCGCGCAAGAGGTGTACGCGGGTATTGCCGGCTTCGTGTGTGCTGGTGCAGGTAGCGGTGATTGCGTAGAGAGGCGCTGAAGCTAGGACTTTTCTAGGATATTCCAGAGATGAGGGGGGGCGGGTATGAGACGAGACGAGGACTGACGAGAGGGAGTGACCGAGGAGACCCAACGCGAACCGTGACCGAGAGAAGCCAGTGTGACCAGAGAGCGGCGCCAATTGCCGACCGAAAGAGGGGACTGATGCGAGATGTCGCCCTGAAGGATGGGCAGACGGGATGGAGGGGAAGGGAGGGAATGGAGGATGGGTGGAGAGAGGCAGTGGTACGACGCGGCCGAGTGGAGTTGGCTTGCGGGGGCGAGGAGAGCAGCAGCCAAGCGCGGTCGGACGAGGCCGAGCCACAGCCCGAGTTGGGAGATGGTGCCAATTTTGCCTCTCTCTCTCTGCCTGGCTGCAATCTGAAGGTGGGCGGCACAACGGCGTCATAGGCACGCAGCCTCCCAAAATCGCCGAAGTGGGCTTAGACACGCTTAGTCATCACGCATGCCGCGCTCCTTTTTCTTCTTCTCGCCGTTGCTCACGAGACTCGGTCCTTCTGTCTGCCCGCGCGGCCGCCTGCCATCCAGCTGATCGACCCGCAATTTTCCTTCCAGTCCTGATCCTCCCTCGGCGCCAGGCGGTCGCGGATTGCAACTCCAACTCGAACCTCATCTTGCGACCAGCTCTTGTCACCATCCACCTTTTCCTCGCTTCAATTTGGACTCGTGCATCGGCAGCAGCTCACGACGACTTCCGGCTCCGCTCTCTACTCGTTGAACGCACGTCAATAACATGGCATCTTCTCAAAGCTGCCGCACCGGCGTCGCTGGTCTGTTGCGCAACCTTTCGTCGGCGCACGCTTCCACCTCGGCACACCATGGCTCCGCATTGATACGCTCGCGCTGTCTCTCGACGTCGGCCTCCGCCTTGAACGCCGCCGAGTCGTCGTCTACATGGACCGCATCTTCCCCGTCGCAGTCGTCTCCTTCTTCATCATCATCCTCCTCGTCCTCCTCGTCCTCCTCCTCGTCAGCACCAGCACCGCGCGCATCCTCGGCGGCGCCCGCCAAACCGTCCAAGCCCGTCAAGACCATCCCCGCATCGTCGCCGCTGCTGGACAAGCCCATGCCCATCGGCTTCCCCTCGAGCACGCTGCGTGGCTTCCCGTCGCTGCTCCACTTTGCCGACCCGGTGCTGGATGCGCATCCGTCCAACGTGCTGCGCAACAAGCCCACCACCTCCATGCCCTACCCCTCGAGCGTCACTTTCTTCAACGAGCCGCGCATGTTTGAGCCCACGCCGCCCTCGGCCGACTCGCTGGTGCTCTCGTCGGGCTCGGACGCGGACGAGGTCAACTCGGAGCAGTACCTCTCCACCGTGACGCCGCTGTCGGTGCGCGAGGTGCGCGACCTGCACCGCCACGCCATCGTGCTCAAGCGCGTCGTCCACATGACCACCAAGGGCAAGGACGCCAGCATGTATGCGCTCGTCATCGCCGGCAACGCCAACGGCCTCGTCGGCTACGGCGAGGGCAAGGACACCAACGCCTCCAAGGCCGGTCGCAAGGCCTTCCACGAGGCCGTCAAGACGCTCGACAGCGTCGCCGTCCACAAGGGCTCCGACGGCTCGCGCACCATCGAGACCCAGGTCGAGGCCAAGTGGGGCGCCAGCACCGTCGTCCTGCGTCCGCGTCCCGCCGGTTTCGGTCTGCGCGTGCCCCCCGTCATCCACGCCATCTGCCGCTCCGTCGGCATCACGGACCTCTCGGCTTCCATCCAGGGCTCCACCAACCCGGTCAACGTGGTCAAGGCAACGCTGCAGATCCTCTGGGGCGGCGCGGCGCCGCTCGGCATGGGCGATGGCATCGGTGGCCAGATGCGCCGCAAGGACAAGGGTCGCGGCATGCGCAGCCGCCTCGACATTGAGCGCAGCCGTGGCCGTCGCATCACCGAAGTCAACGCCGCAAAGTAGCGCGCGCTCACTCACAGTCGCCGCCAGACTCACTAGAGCGATTGGCTCAAACGAAAAAAAATACGTACAACCACCGCATCGGCTTTGGTCGACTTGGCTAGGCGTGAGTGAGCTGAGCGCCGAGGCAAGCGCCGTGACAGAGAGTAGAGAGAGGGAGAGAAAGTGACGGCATTGGCTTGAGTGGGTGGCGCATCTTTTTTTTTTCCTCGCGACAGCTCCACCTCTCTGCTGGCTAGTGAGTGAGGGTAGTGAGTGATTCAGGCATTTCCGAGACGATCGTGTTGACTCACCTTGCCATGGCCCGCACCTTCCCGCCGTCTCTGCTTGGGCAAAGGCTGAGTCGCTGCCACTGCGCACCTCGTGCTCGCATCCATGCTCCCCAGCTCGTCCCTCAACCGCTGGGTGCAGATTGGCTGCTCGAGTGCAGGGGCTCGACTGCGTCTTGGTTGCGCTATCGTCTTGAATCGCGTATAAATAACCTCGCCGCCTAGGCCTCGTCCTTTGCGCTTTCCCTCACAGCACACTATTTGACAGTCCCACTCGAACCCACCACACCATCCGACCAGCTTTTTGCGATTCCAATCATGCAGCACTGCAAGCGTAAGTCGTCTGAATCGCGCGTCACCACAAGACTCTGGCTCATCGTTTTGGATTTTGGCTCGACGATGTACTGTACAGGAGGAGACCGAGGTAAGCGCTCAACATGACGGAAAGACGGGATGCAAGCGCCTGATCGCGCTGAAACGGGGGATTGTAAAGTCTACTTTACCATCGGTCAGAACCAGGAGGAAGGCGTCGTCGAGACGGTCGAATGTGAGTCGCATCCCTTGCACTCAACCTGCTGCGATGTAGCCATGCTGATTTAGGATGACGGAACAGATCGCGACGACGGCACGGGTACGTATAGCCCCACCTCGTGGTTTTGATGCGCGGTGGTGACTGACATGAGACGACGTTGGTACAGTCATGGCCACGATCCGATTCGACAAGAAAGAGTAAGTTCTTGCGCCCACGTCTCGGTCATCGGCTTGGATTCCGGGCTAACCGCTTTGTGAGAACAGTGGCGCGGTTTCGCACATCAACCGCAACGTCGTAAGTGCACCTTGCTCCAACTGGAATCAATACGCAAAGCTGACTTGGGGGTTGGTTGCTGCATGGGTAGGACAAGCTCGAACCGGCGGTAAGTGACGCGATCTAGCGGTGCGTGCAGTTGCAAGGAGAACTGACTCGAGCGTAGAATCGTCGTTTGTCGCATGGCGCTTGGTAATGTCGATCGCAATAGCAGTAGCATGCGTCGCCACGAGCACGCGATGCAGGTTCAAGGTACGGCCTGATCGCTCGTCGCGGTGCAGGCAACGTTTCGGTCGGAGGTCGGAATGGCGAATCGAGCTTTCACTTGCGCCTCGAGGTGTGTGCGTGTGTGTGTGTGTGTGGCCGTGGGAGCGAGACTGAGCTTGGCTTGAGAGTAAGATGGTGGCGGTGTGTGGCCGGTCGACCTCCACGGACAGATGTGATGCCAAAGCACTTGCTCAAACGACGGCAGGGGAGGTAGTTGCGCGTTTTCGTGCGAGGGAGTGAGACGTGCGCATCACGAGGCTATGAGGCTCAGATGGCCCAACTTGACGCTCGCACCGAGGCGCTGATCGACTCTGTCCACACGCCAAGGCTCTTCCTGGCACTGCCCGCACACGCCTAGGCAAACGACAACGAGGATGCCGAGCTGGTTACTTGTAATGCGGCTTGAGCCGATGATCGCCCTTGACCCGGATGCAGGCGATACCAGGTCTGGCTTGCAGCTCAAAGTGCCACCCGCAGCGGAACGTCGAATGACAGCAACTCAGGCTGGCCAAGCCGCCACAGATGAATACACTGCGCAGCTCCTTCGGCACGGTGCAATCATGCCTCACAACGCACGACGCGGGAATGGCTTGATATTTGACGGCTGTGGTGGGTCTAGGCATCGTCATCCGACTCGTGGTCGCCGGCCAGCTCGTGCAGCTCGATGAGGTATTCGTTGAGTTTGGGCCTCGACACATCTGCACCCCTGATCGTCCCTACACCCTTGTCCTGTGCCCCCTCGCCCTTGGCCGATGCATCGATGCCCAAAGCCAGATGCAGGACAGCCTGAAGTTCTGCGAATCCGACCACTTTGGTCCTTTGGGCGGTTTGAAACTGCCTCATGCCCGCCAGTAGCTGCGTGGGGGTTGGTGCGTACAGCAGCTCGTAGAACCTCCGCGCGCGTTCGAACGAGACCTCTTTGCCCGGCAGGATGTTTTTCAGATTCTGCTGCAGCGCCAGGATGTTGCGCAGCATCTTGGTCACCCCCTGCGTATTCACCGCACGGATGCTGTGCACCAGCCGAACCAGATGCGCATCCATGAGCGCCGCAACGCCCTCGAGAACAAACGCCCGACTCGAGGCGGGCAGTGTCTCGGTGAGCATATCGTCGATCGAAGCAAGTTCGGCGTTGAGATCGACAATGTGCGGTGCCGGGTCGACGGCGTTTTCGTTGACCGCGTACGTCGATTCCAAAACCGCGTGTTGCAGGTACGCGATGACGCGCAGCCGCACCTCGAGACGCAAAGTGTAGAGCACCGTCGATCCAAGTTGGTGGTAGGCGCCCGCGAGCGCAGGGAATCGCGATACCAACTCGGGCGTAAGTGGCAACGCAAGCTCTTCATCCTCCCCATCCGGTTTCGAGGTGTCGCCAACGTTGCTATCCGTGAGCGCGAGTGCATCGATGACGCTAAGGCGAGCTTTGGGACGGCTTGCGCGAAGCGGATCCTTGTCGGCGCGAGCGGTGTGTTGCTCACACACGGGTTGAAGCCGGGCTACGTTGGAGGCAAACCACTCGATGCTGTGCTGGAGGCATCCGAGCGCCATGAGTTTCTTGCGCGAGGTGGTGAGTTCGTGGATCGCGACGGGCGCGCGCGCGCGTGCGTACGCCAGCTCCAACCGCACCTCCTGCGCCAACAACTGCTTCCTCCGCTCCCCCGTCGTACCCACCTCGCGCAGCTCGCCCAGACACGCCACCATCTCCGCGCGCTGTGCCCAATTGGCAGACAACGCATACCCACCCTGCTCCTCCGGCTTGGTCTCGCCACCATCGCTCGCGGACTCGTGCGAAACCAAGTCGCGGAACCGCTCGCCGCACTTCTGGTAGTACTGGATCACCACCGTCACGATGAGGCGCGAGTACGATTCGCGGTGGAACGGCGTCGTCCGCAGCATCGAGTACAAACTGTCGATGAGCACGATCACGTTGGATGCCGATTTCACCACGGGACGCGAGGCAGCGGTACGGCCGAGCTGCCGCGACGCAGGATCCTCCGCAAAGCTGTCCGTGTGGCCCGTGGCGCCGCTGAAGAGCGTCTGCACCTTGTCCTCGAGCTGCGGCAGAAAGATGTCCTGCACAAACTCGTCGAGGAACGCAGAGAAGCCGCGCGACGTCTCGCCCGCCGCTTCCGACGGCATCACCGCCGCCACGCGCTCCACGAACGCAAGCGCAGGCTGGAAGAGCACCGACACGTTGAACGCATCGGGCTTCACCAGCAGTCGGTGCCCGGCGCCAGTGTAGGATTCGACGCCGCGCCCGCGCCCACCGACCGAGCCAGTGCCCACACCCGTCGTCACGCCGCGCGCCGTCGAGGCACCGGCGTTGGCGGCCGAGGACGAGATGATGATCTGGTTGCCCGCGCGCGCGCCGCCAATGCCCGCCGCGCCGTCCAGCGTGCTCACCAGCCCCGGCACCGACGCTTTCAGCGCCTGCGCTACGGCGAGCTGGTGTTTGGCAAGCGGGCCCGCATCGCGCTTGACAGGTGTGCGCTGGGTGCCCGTATCGGCGAGCTTGAAGAGCTGCTTGGAGCGGTCGCGTCCGAACCGCTGGTCGACCAGCACATCGTTGACCGAGATGACGGCATTTCGTGCCGAAGTGGACCCCTCGTCGTCCATGAGGTAGTCGTGCAGCAGCGTGCGCACTTCGTGCTGGATCGGCTTCCACACGTCCAGCAGCGACGCTACGCCCGAGAGCTTCTTGGACGCCGTCTCGTCCTTGAACCCGGCGCGGCTGGCAATCATGCCCGCCACCTCGTACACCACCCGATGCCCCTGCAGCACCGCATCGAGCTTGGAGAAGAGCGTCCAGAAGAGATCGCGCATGGTCTCGCCATCGCGCTGCAGCGCCGACGTCTCGCCCGCCGAGATGCGCAGCATGCTCGACGCGCGCCGACTGGTGCGCAGGCTGAACGACGAGCGCGACGAGCGCATCGACTCGCTAAACGAGCGTGCCAGCGCCGACGACGACGCCAGCAGCACCGACTCGGGCCGCAGCGCAATCGAGAAGCGCCGCAGCGGCTCGTTGCGCGCATCCACCTCGTCGATGGTCGTGTCGACCAGCTGGTGCACCTCGAGCGCAAGGCGCTGCGACACGATCTCCAGCGCCGCACCCAGCTTGCCCAGACGCGAGAGCGATTCGAGCAGCATCTCGATGTACACAAACGAGTCGGCCTCGGGATTGCGATCAAACTCGGCGCCGTACCTGCCTGCAGGACGGCTGGCCCCGAGCTCGGTGCTGCCCGCACCATCGCTAGCATCCAAGCTAGATCCAACAAGTGCGCCGCTGGGAGACTTGAGCTCGCCAGTGAGCGCCGAGACGGACTTTGTGGATGTCATGAGCGTCGCTTCTTGGATGTCGGACGCAAGGTTGGGGTCGAAGCTCGGTCGAGACCGCAGACTCTGCAGGAAGCGCGTGAGCTGCAGCGTTGCATCCGAGCTTTGTGCGGATGAATCTGCGTCGCTGGCACGAGCTTCAGGCTTGCTGGGCGTGTAGTCGGAGCCGAAGCGCACGACGGGCAAGGACTCCTGGCCGGCGCTGTAGACCTTCCACCTTGCGTCGCAAAAGTAGCTCTTGAGGTAGAGGTGATTGTGGAGCTCCTCGATGAGGATCTCGAGCATGGCCTGTTCCTGACCCTTGAGGTAGGCGCGCAGGTCGGCGGTGGCGCCGACCTCGAGCACTTCGGGCTTGTCGATGGTCTTGAGCGAGCGCACGAGCAGGTTGACGGACTCGAGGAAGCGCTTTTCGGCCATGAGGCTCTCGAGGCGGTCGGGGACGGACTTGAGGTGCTCGACGAGATCGAGCAGGCGCAGGGCTTCCTTGACCGACTGGCTGCGCTGCCACATCTGCACGAGGTCTGCGCGCTTGGCGCCGAGCGCCTCCCTCGAGTCGCGCAGACGACGGCGTGCGCCGCTGACGCTCGACTGTGCGGCGGTGAGCGACTGGAGCACCGAATTGTGCATGGTGATGGCGGTGGCAAACGACTCGTAGTGGTCGTCGACGGTGCCCTGCAGAGCGGTCTCGATGAGGCGCTTGACTTGCTCGAACTCGGCGCGGCTGGTGCCGAGGCTGCTGTCGTCGAGCATGGAGAGCGCGAGTGCGACCGAGTTGAAGTGGTCGTCGGCGACAAAGGGCCACTCGGCCTCCACCTTGCGCAGCACGGCATTGATGGACTGGAACGCACGCGGGTCGGCGCGGTCGAGGTAGGCGGAGACCGGCTTGCGCGCCTGCTGCGGGTGCTGCGAGATCTTTTTCTCGTTGCGGCGACGGCGCGACTCTTCCTCTGCGGTGGTGCCACGCATGATGCGAGCGGCTTGTCGCTTTCGTCCGGCGGAAGTGAGCGCCGAGAGCACCGAATCGAGCGCGGCAGGCTGGTTGCTTTCGGTGAGGGAGCCGAGGGGAGCGCCCGATTGGCGGCGTGGATCGCGTTGTGGTCGCTGTCCTGGCACCGAAAGACGGTCAGCAGCGCGATGGTTGGAGTACAGGGCCGCGTGGCCTTCGGAGGGGGGATCGATGGGCGAATAGAGGTCTTCGTGATCTTCGGAATCGGGCTGACTGGAGGGTGTGCCAGAGCGTGCGACCTGGGCCATGAGCTGTGCGGAGCGCGTGTGCCGATCCGAGGGAGGCGTGGCGTGTGGGCTCAAGGTGGAGGAGGAGACTGTGGTGAGCGCCGAGGGGTCGCGCGAATGGCTGGAGGCTGCTTGGGAGCGCGAGGCTGCGAGCAGGTCCCTGCCTGGCGCGTTCCTGGCTGGGGAGGTGGGGCTGGGTGCGCCGCGGGGAGCGGCTCCGACGGGCGGGATCTGAAGCTGCGGTCTCTGTACGGCGGGTCGTACGCGTTCGCCCGGGTTGGAGGAGGCGGAGAAGGCGGCGAGGCCCCTGTGCGATTCGGGGACGGGCGCCTGCTGGGGCCTGCGTACGGATCGTGCGGGACGAAGCGGCGAGTTGGCGTTGGGATCGGCGGCGTCGACGCGGGAAGGGATACGCTGGTGCGAGACTGTGGCGGACGTGGAAGGTGTGGGCGTATGGTCGGAGGCGAGTGCGAAGCTTGCGGTGCTCTGGTTGGTGGGGCTTGCGGAGCGCGGATAGGGTGGGTTGGTGGGGTTGGAGTGATGAAACGCCGTGCCATTGTTGTGTCGGTCGTGGTGGAGGGCGTGGGAGGATGGATAGCCGTGCGACTGTCGGCCTTCAAAGTTGGAGATTGAGTCGGACGGAGCGAGGCTGACGAACGAGGGTCCGGCGCCCAGGCCTGCAGCGCCCGACTGAGGCTGAGCATAGTTGGAGGGTGCCAACGAGGTGTTGAAGGCACTCATGGGTGCGCCACCAAGAGGGGCGGAGCCTGGGTGGTGGCCGAAAGCATCGCCGACATGAGCGACTTGGTGGCGAGCTGAGCTGAAGCTTGCAGTGGCCGTGCCCGAGCCGAGGCTGGCGTTTTCGTGTTTGATCTTGGAGCGAAGGTCCTTGATGGTGTTGGAGCGGCCGGACATGGTGCCGAATGGGGCCTGAGGCCGAGGTTCAACGTCGGAAAGGCGGCGTTAAAAAGATACCGGCTCCCACATGTGTTTGGAGCGCAGGCCACAGGTGCGCTTTGCCGATGCACGATAAAAGGGAGAGCGAGCTGGCGCAGACGTTGTGCGAGCTTCGGGAGGTATGCTCGGTCTGTTCTTTTGACTTGCTCGGTTTACTGAGCTACGAGGTGCGGTGCTGTTGTCAGGCCTCACTGCAGTGTGTCCGGACAGGGTAGGGCCACGGTGGAAGAAGGATTGATGCGGCGATGTTGGTGATGCTGATGACGACGGCGGTTCGGCTGAGCAGCGGTCGGAGCCATCGCGCCGAGATGGCCCAAACGCGCCTCTCTCGCATCTTGCACTATTGCCCGATTTGATTCGATCTGAGACCGCTGGGCAGCACCAAAAATCACATTTTCGAGTCCCGAATTTGGGTTCCAATTTTTGGACCCTGAATTGGTTGATTCGGCGCAACTTTTCTGCCTCCTCCTCCTCACCACCACTCGGAAGGTCATTGCTTGCGTTCGCGGCGCAGCAAGCAAGGTCACCGCCATGCCCGCCGACGGTAGCAACGGCGCTGTCGATCCCAACTTTCCCGCTGGTCTGCGCATCCAGCCCAGCAGTTCGAATCGGCCAAGACCCCCTTCTCCCAAAACAACTGCGGACCCCAACTCGCAGACCGAACCGAGCGATGGAGAGACGCCTTCGTGGGAGGTGGATACTGCGCAGGACATCGAGCTCTACGGAATCGCAGGAAGGATTTGGGAGGCAGCGTATTTGCTCGCACGCTATCTGGTGCCTCCAAGCCAAGCGGGCGCTTCGCTCGAGTTTGATCCGCAATGCTCGTTCTTCCCCTCGCCAGGGCAGGCGCCGCTAACCATCGTCGAGCTCGGCTCGGGCGCGGGATATGGATCGCTGCATCTGGCACGCCAGCTCGTGCGTCACGCAGATGCTTTGACGGAGCGACCACCTCGGACACGGCTGGTGCTGACCGATCTCGAAAACGTCGTGCCGCTGATGGAGCGTAACGTTGCGCGTGCTGGCTACAAAGAGGCCACCGACATCCTCGATGCGCGTGTGCGAAGTCTGGCTTGGGGGAATCAAGCGCATTCCTCGAGCCTGATCGCCGAACTGCAAGACGACGATCGCTCATCTGGCAACCCAATCACGCACATCCTCTGCTCGGACCTGGTCTACTTTCCCGAGCTACTGCCACCGTTGCTACGATCCATCATTTCGCTCTCCAATCCCACTAACTCAGACAACAGGATAGAGCAGTCGACAGACTCGGGTCCACAACTTGTGATTTCGTACAAGATCCGCTCGCTGACCAAGGAGCAGCCGTTCTGGTCTGCACTTGGCTCGTGGTTCGAGTTTGGAGCCGTCGACTGCCGCACAGCCAAGGGCGAGTGGCACCGGTTTGGAAGCGAGGGCGCCGACTACGGTGCGTCTGTGGACGCTGACCAGGAACTGTTTGTGTTTGTGGGTCATCGACGCCCCGACACATTCGACCGACTGGCACCGGAGCGCGACACCGAGCTCATGCAAGGCAAAAGGCTGCGACCGTGTGCCGAGTCGGACAGCTACGAGCTCGAGACGCCTGCATCGGGACAAGACTACTTTGAATGGCTGCTCCTCTCCAACATGGGTGCAGGTCTGGGCTGAGGTGTGCTTTTCGCGCCTTCACCAGCATGGCTTGCCTGTACGGGCTTGTCGCCGGTACCATGCGCACCTACCCAGTCCGGCCTGCTCAACAGCCATCGGCACAGCTCGCGTAAAGACGAACCACTCATTTCTCTCCGGAGGACCCCCGCGCAGTCCTTCAAGTAGATCGGTGCGCCCAACGTGCTTGGGTTACTTCGCTGATTGCCGTCCGTGTTGACACCGACTTCCGGCGCAATGCCACACGAGCAGCAGCCAAGTTCTCGTCCCGCTTGCTCTTGAGGCTGTGGGCCTGCATGGGCTTCGTAATTTTGGAGCTTGCTTCGATGATGCCACTGCACCATAAACTCCTTCCTGCGCCTCTGCTTTCCCAGCTGAAAGCTTCCGCTGCCCGTCCAGTTGATCGACATGACGACGTGGATCCCAAAGCGCAACCGCAACAAAAGATGGTAGTCCGTCAAACAGAAAAGCATCGCTCACACTGTACACTACTGCACAGAGCCCCAAGCTACGTATGGCCAATCTGATTGCAAGCATGGCCTCAACGGCTATTGATGAAAGGCAGAGCGAGCGAGGCATTGGAGGGCCAATACGATCTAACAAAAGCAAAACCAAAAAATCCGTGCATAGCGCGTTCGACGTCACTCCGCAGCGATCGCAGGCAGCAGACCGAGCCAAAGCTGCTCTGAGCAGCAGCAGCGGCAGCAGCAGCAGCAGCAGCGGCAGCAGCAGCAGCAGCAGGTGGAGGAAATCCCGAGCATCAGGGGTCCATCGCCCAAATCTCAAAATAGCGAGCGAGCAGCGACGCGTTTTGAGAGCCGAGAGACAGACTGAAGAGGGTCCCCACAGCAAGTCGAAGGGAGGCAGCGGAGAGGAGAGGAGAGGAGAGAGAGAGAGAGAGAGAGAGAGAGAGAGAGAGAGAGAGAGAGAGAGAGAGAGAGAGAGGAGAGAGAGAGAGAGAGAGAGAGAGAGAGAGAGAGAGAGAGAGAGAGAGAGAGAGAGAGAGAGAGAGACTCAGCAACCAACGCCCACTCACCCACCCTCGCTTCATCCCTCTCTCCTCCTCCTCCTCCTCCTCATCCTCATCCTCTCCGACTTGCAATCCTCCCTTCATCACCAGCGCCTGCTCATTCACTGATTCTACATAGGCGGCGCACATACTCATCGCACGCGCATCTTCCACCGCATCACGCACGGCCGCTGCTATCCCGCCGTCTCCACGCGGAACCGATGCTCTGAAACGCACGTGCTGAGCGAGGATCGATCCTCTTGCCAACCCCTTCCATCTGCATCTGACTCGGGCTCTACCGGCTCAGTCGAACCGCCACAATGCTTGAAGGAGTCCTCGCATCGCTCCTCAACAAGCTGCTCGCGGCCTACGTCGACGGCCTCAACACAAGCCAGCTCAATGTCGGCATCTGGTCTGGCGACGTCAAGCTCCGCAACCTCCGTCTCAAGACTTCGGCGCTCGACAAGTTCCGACTCCCAATAGACGTCAAGGAGGGCTACCTCGGCGACCTCACCCTCTCCATCCCCTGGTCCAACCTCAAGGGGAAGCCCGTACGCATCCTCGTCGAAAATGTCTACCTCCTCGCCGCTCCCAAGAACGCCAGCGTCGAGGTCGACGAGGAAGAAGAGGCGCAGCGTGCCCAGGCCGCAAAGCAGGAGAAGCTCGCCAACGCAGAGCTCCTCGGCAGAGACAGCGGCCAGAGCGTAGGCATCTCGTCCGAGGACGAGCAGAAGAACCAGTCCTTCACCAGCTCCCTCATCACAAAGATCGTCGACAACCTCCAGTTCACCGTACGCAACATCCACATCCGCTACGAGGACAGCCTCTCCAATCCAGAGCATCCCTTCTCCGCCGGCATCACCCTCGCCGAATTCTCCGCCGTCTCCACAGACGCAAACTGGAACCCTACCTTCATCCAGAACTCCGGCGACGGCATCCACAAGCTCGCCCGTCTCGAGTCGCTCTCCGTCTACTGGGACACCGACTCCGAGTCGCTCGCCGGCCACGAAATCGGCGAGGCGCAGAAAAAGTTCAACGCGCTCATCGCACGCTCCGACGCGACGCCCGACCACCAGTACATCCTCAAGCCCGTCAGCGGCGCAGGCCGGCTCGTCATGCGCAAGAAGATGACGCCAGAAGTGCCAAAGATGGATGCACAGCTCCTCTTCGAAGAGCTCGGCTTCGCCCTCGACGACGAGCAGTACCGCGACGTCATCTCCGTCGCCGACCTCTTCCACTTTTACACCCGCCAGGCACAGTATCGCCGCTTCCGCCCCACCCCGGAGCAGCTGTCCGAGAACAGGCCCCGCGCCTTGCTCCGCTTCGCCGGCGCCGCCATCCTCAACGAGGTGCACGAACGCCATCGCGTTTGGACCTGGGACTACTTCCGTCAGCGCCGCGACGACCGCAAAGAGTACGTCGAGCTCTTCAAGCAAAAGGAAAAGCAGGTCCAAAAGACCAACCAGCAGCAGGCAGGCGTCGCCATCGCACAGAGCGACAGCGGCTCACGGCTCGAAGAACTCGAAAAGAAGCTCGACTACAAAGACATCCGCTTCTACCGTTCCATAGCGCGTCACGAGCTGCGCAAGGAGTCGCTCGCCGCCAAGAAGGACGAGATCGCCGCAGGCGGCAACGGTCACGGCGCCAACGACCAGAAAGCGGCAGGCGGTGGCGGATGGCTTAGCTGGATCTGGGGAGGCGGTGGTCACCAGCAGCAGCACGGCAACGACTCGGGCGTGCTCAATGAAGAGCAGCGGAAAGAGCTCTACGACGCCATCGAGTGGGACGAAGACGCGAGTGCAGCCGCCCTCACCCAGGCCGTCGACGCTCCCCGCGATGCCATGCACCTTCGCCTCATCACCAAGCTCAAAACGGGCTCCGTCGCGCTCAAGGATCATGCCCGCGGCACCGACATCCTCTCGCTCGTCTTTGACTCGCTCCAGGCCAACGTCATCCAGCGCCAGGACAACCTCGAGGCAGCCGTCGCGCTCGGCGGCCTTCGTCTCTACGATGGCACAACGCCCAACTCTCTCTATCCGCAGGTCGTCCGCGTCAAGGACGAGGAGCTCGACAATCCCAGCCGTCAGAATTCCGGCGCCGGCGATCTCAAGCAGATCGAGCACGAGGTCGAGCAGGAGAGCGACCCGGACAATCCCTTCTTCTATGCAAAGTACGAGCTCAAGCCGCTCGACGACCGCGCCGACAACGCACTCACGCTCAAGATGCGCTCCATGGAGATCATCTACCATCGCGGCTTTGTCGAGTCCATCGTGCGCTTCTTCAAGCCCCCAGAGAGCGAGCTCGAGCTCATCGGCGCCCTCATCGACGTCGCCAGCGAGACCATCGAGGGCATCCGCAAAGAGACGCGCGCCGGCCTCGAGAGCGCCCTCCAGAACCACAAGACCATCGACATGGTCGTCGACGTCAAGGCGCCTATCATCATCATCCCCGAGGACGTCACCACCAAAAAGTGTCAGCACATGGTGCTCGACGCCGGTCGCATCGCCGTCCGCTCCGTGCTCGCCGACCAGAACGCGCTCGATACCGTGCGCTCCAAGCAGAATCGCGCCTACACCGATGAGGACTACCGCCAGCTCGAGGATCTCATGTACGACCGCTTCTTCGTCAAGCTCGAGTCCGCGCAGCTCGTCATGGGCAATGACATTGATTCGTGCATGAAGGGCCTCCACTCCAACGCCACCGACCATGGCCTCCATCTGCTCGAGCGCATCAACCTTGACTTTACCCTGCACAACTCGATCCTCTCGTCGGCGCCCAACCTCACCAAGTTCAAGATGACCGGCCACCTGCCCACGCTGCGCGTCAACTTTTCCGACCGCAAGTACAAGACGCTCATGCGCATCATCGACGTCGCCATCCCCAACTTTGACGACGACTCGAGCGCTGGCAGCTCGCCCACCAAAGGTCTTGGCACCATCGAGGAGGAGCTCGAGCCCGTCGCCATTGGTCAGCGCCAGACGGGCAAGGACGATGATGAGGAAATGGACAAGGATGCGGACAAGGACGACGCCAAATCATCGCGAAAGGCTCGGGGCCGGCCGTCCGACGCGCTGGATCTCAACAAGGCGCGTCGGCAGCGTCTCGCGGGACAGCTGCGAGGCGAAGACGACTATCTTGTCGACGCCGGCCTCGACGACGACGACGGCAAGGACGAGTTCCAAGACGCCGAGGACGCCACCATCGACAAGGTCAATGCGCACCAGAAGACGTTTGAGCTCGAGTTTGTCGTCGACTCGCTCCAGGGCTCCATCTTCCGCTCCGCCACCGACCCGTCCCAGCCGGACCGTCTCCTCGTCGATGCCCGCTTCGAGGGTTTCCTCTTACACCTCGCCGTCTACCCGTACCATATGGACGTCGATGTCGGTCTGCGCAGTCTCGAGCTTGAGGACAAGATCGTTGACCAGGGCGCGCAATTTCGTCATCTCATCACCTCCAAGCAGGTCCGGGACGGCAGCTCGCGCTCGGCGACGGGCGACTCGCATGCCTCGTCGGGCACGGCATCGCCATCGGACCAACGCGATCTGGTCCGTGTCCGATACACCCGCGTCGACCCCGAGTCGCCCGAGTTCATGACCAAGTACGAAGGCATCGACCAGACGGTCAACGTCGAGCTCTCGACCATCAACATCATGCTCACCAGGGTCAGCGTGCTGGCGGTCTACGACTGGATCATGACCACCTTTGTCGCGGTGGACGAGCCCACGGCGTCGTCTGCGCAAGAGGCCGAGGACAGCAAGCAGCGCCGACCGAGTCGGTCGTCCGATCGACGTCCTAGCGACGCTACGTCCAAGCGGCCCTCGATTCGACCTCCCGAGTCGGCTGGTGCCGCTACTGGCGGTACCGTAGCTGCAGCCAACGGCAACGGCGAGCGCAAGGAGAAGCTGCGTGTCCGTGTCAAGCTCAACTCGATCGTGCTGCGTCTCAACAACGACGGCACGCTGCTGGCAACGCTCACGCTCTCCACGGCCGATGT